TTTTATTTGCATCTTCAGTGTATCTACATTCTAACCATTATTTGATCTACTATGCTTTTGTGTTCAAGTGACGATTGTTCAATCTCCTCGTTGTTAGAATTAATAATCATTGAAAAATCGATATATAATTGAATTAACTTGATTGTAAGTCAATTCTTGTAAGGTCATTACCAATACATCTTCCTTAAAATGCTTCTCTCTCTTTTAATTGCTCATGGGGCTATCCTTGAAGTGTTATGTTATAATCAGTCGCTTTATTTAATGTATATTCACATTGAACTATAATAATTTATTGCCAGAACTTTTCGCCTTGATCAAAGTTTTCATAGTGAGGGTAAAATTTATATAAGATATTTCCTGATAAATAAATGTCAGGTTTATTGCCGTTACAGCGGTATCGATAAAACAAAAAAGCTAACACACGATTAAGATTAATTTGTTATAAAAAATAAACGTGTTTATTAAACGTTTCTCATAAAAGTATTTTCATACATCTTTCTGTGTCAGTGCACTCAATATAAACAAAAGTTACTAGTTAATCTTCAATTTCATCTATTATTTATATTGTATAAATTTTTATATCACCATTTGTCTAGTGACAAAAAGAGTTGAGTGTTTTTTCTTATAAGTGAACTGAAGAAATGTAGTAACGGATGAATAGGAATTTCGGAAAACCTCCACTTTCTTTGTAACCAAGTGGAGTGAGATGTTAAACAGTAATTTGCCGATAACACTGGATGATTTATTGAACTAAATATATTCTACTAGCGGTAATGCAAAATATACTGGGTTCATTATTAATAAGATTGTCAGTGCACAATACTAAATAAACTTAGTTTAAAGAAAAATAGCTGCTCAGAGCTTATTGATTTTCAATGATTTTTCAGCTGGTATCTGCTCGTGATGAAAAACATTTCTAACGTTCAAGAGTTATTCATCGTTTATAGTCGTTTCTACGTATAAATATACTCATTTGAGGAAAAATATGGTTTTTGTAAGTGCATGATGAACTGTGTGTTTGAATACCTCACTATAAAGCCAGTGGACTGCTCCACGTATATCCTGGATTTCAGGACTTTGAGGTCTTTATTCCGAACACCGTTTAGGTACCTAGATCATTATATGTATACATATATGTATGTAATTATTTTTTGGTTAACCAATACTTATTTGTGAATATTTCCACTCGTGGGGTAGTATAGGCCGCCGACCAGGATTTTTCAACCAACTCCCTCCTTGGCTCTTCTTTCCAGTTTTTCCCCAGTCCTATCCATTCTTTTGATGTCTGCCCTTAATTGCCGGTGCAATATTTTGATCGATAAAGTGAAAAATATTTTCAGTCATAGAACGTAAGCAAGAATCTAAATAGGTCAACCGTTTAAACATTAACATTGAAGCATTCATATTCCGTCTTGTTTGGTTGAAATGATTTTCACGTGACACTTGAATTAATTCACCACTCAAATTTTCAGATTGTTATTGTTTTAATAAACACTTTTTTGATAAACAACATAGAAAATAATAATACCAAGAAGGTATTATGGAACAATAACTCATAAATATAAACTTGTATTTATTTATGAGTAAATCTAAAAATTGTTCGAGTTATTTGAAGAAATGAATACTTCATACAGGAAATATAGATTGCTTAATTATAGACACTCTTTACCAGTTAAATAAAGTTGGTTACCATTTATAAATTGAATGAAAAGTTTGTCATTTGGTTGATTAATATTCATGTTATTTTGTGCCGTATTTTCATTGAGTACGCTAGGGTGAAAAAATCAAAGTAATCTTGTACATGAGATGAAATTCCACATATTTAGTAAGACTTTTTTGTTCCTATAAAAACATCCATTCGAATTAATTCATCTTTTGAAAGATGTAGTTAAGATCATAATGAAAAGTATAAAAACAATAATTTTCAAAGTTTCATTTGTCGTTCTAAATTCAGTTTTTAACAGATTTTATTTGTTATTTGTTAACATCCTTTACATTGTTCAACCAAATGACTGTTCCTCGTTTTAGTAAATAAAATCATACGAAAAGCCCTTGATATTGTTAAAAGTCTATATAAAGATCATCCAAAATATTTTGGCATTCATTATGGTAAGATTTTGTCCAGATCTTGGAATGAACACTGATTTATATCTAGCATTTTAATCACATTTTTTGAAAAACTAACAATCACGTATACAGCATAACTATATGAATAAACTGTATGTCAGTGATAAACACAACATTACTCCTTTGTTCGTCTGTAACCTACGACTTACTTTTTCGTTAAGCCTGTCTTTTTTTTCCAAACAGCAAAATATCCTGACTTTCTCTTAAATCGTTAAATGATATGAATTAAACTTCCAACCGATTATTATTAGATTATTAGGCTGGAGAAATTTATTCGCTGATGTTTAGCGATTATCTTACTATCTCTGAACAGTATTTGTGATTACTATGTTTTAAAGATAAATTTTCCAAATCTTAAAATTTTACTCACTAAAATACTATCCCAAGTTTTGCGATCGCTGAGATTTGTATTTCTCTTCTAGATAGTCTGAAATCCATCATACTATATGTATCCATAACAGTAGTGTGTTTATTTTTAGAAGTTTTACTGAAATGTGATGATGTAGGTAAATATTTTTACTTCACTATAATTTTAGCAAATTACTACATCGTTTTTATGCAATTTGTTGTTGGATGTAACGTGGAAGATAATTATTAGGTGGTTACCCAAGTATTGAAGGTATCTTCGATCACATAACTGAGTTAAAAACGTCAAATCAAAAGATATCAGTTATGTAATCTGTTTTATTTCGTCTCACATCTATTCAACTAATTTATGCAGTAAGTTATCGATTGTTCTATTGGTGAAACGTAAATCGCGATCACGTGAATATAACGAATTCAACATAAGCTCTACTTCTACTCGGGTTTTTTCAACAAAGTGGATAGACATGACTTACAAAGCTTTGTCGATGGTCTAAAGAGCACATGCTTTAATAAGTAATGTATGTATTGTAAAACTGAAAACAACATTCTTCATATAAATAAGCGACTCCAAAAACTACCCTAAAAAATAATAAAACCCTAAATTCAAAATGAATCCAAATGTTTTCAGTGTTCGATTTAACTCAAAAGAAATGTTTTTCATTGACTAACAATCAGAAAACTTACTGACATTGAAAAATTTAAGCACTCGATTTTGAAATAGTCAAGTCACTGTAACGGAGTGCTTTAGTTTCGATCCTGAATGAGGCTGGTATTTTAACGGTGAAGGTAGAATAAGTTTGATTGTGAATATTACTCTTATCACTTCATATTTTGTAAACAAAGAAGGGACGAATTGAGCGAAGATATTTCTTTCCTATTAGTTTTTCATCATGGCTCTACACTATTATATATATATATTCATTGTGAAACAGTTGCTAAATTTTACCGCTTATCAGAACACAACTAGGTATGTTAACAGCTGTTTTCAAAATAGCATTAAATTAAAAGACTAATCGACAATCCATATATATATATATATATATATATATATATATATATATATATATATTAGCGTAGAGCCATGATGAAAAACTTATCGAAAAGAAATTTCTTCGCTCAATTCGTACCTTTATTTACCAAATGTCAATATGGGAATTTTCACTTTATATTTTCCTTGGGATCAGTCAAGTATAGATGAATTTAGGTTATGTTAACATTTCAAGTTTTTAAACAGACGAATCTTAATGTTAAGTTTTCAGAACTTAATGTCTGATACACCATCATTTGATAAAATTTTCCCTAATTGTTACCTGGTAAATTTAATTTTTTGCACCAATCATCCTCGTGTTTGGCGTTCAATCAAAGGATAGATTGTCGATTAGTCTTTTAATTTAATGCTATTTTGAAAACAGCTGTTAACACACCTAGTTGTGTTCTGATAAGCGGTAAAATTTAGCAACTGTTTCACAATGAACAAGGTTAGGAATAATCTATCATTCATATTGTATGATTCTATCTAGGTTATTAATCGCTGAATCCAGGCTTTTTCGCGTCAAATAATTTTTAATTGCATAGTTTCCGAATAACTTGTGTGATAAATTTATCAATCTCAGTCAATAGTCTGGACGTCCCACATATTTTTGAATAGTTCAATTTTTCTTCTATTGTCTACCTCTAACATAAGAAATAAAACGAGAACTGTTAAAATCGACAAACTTCAGCCTCAAACTGATCTTCAGTCTACTAATCATTATAACTAGCTTTACGGCTCATATCCAATATTTTTTCAGTGCCTTATAAACAGCTGAATGAGGAAAAGAATGAGTAAATATTATTTTTGCGGCGGAATTTACCACAGCCGTCTGCGAATTTAAATAATTTCATTGTAAGTTTTAAATAAACATCCAGATAAAGAAAGACTCTCACTGTTTAACTTTGGCTCACTTGAAAACCATGTATTTAAAATCCAGAAAAATTTGCTTCTTTCTCACAGTAAAATCTCGGTCTCTAAACAATGAACTGACCTTATAAATATATTTTCTACTGACGTCCGTTTACATTCAGTAACCTACGTTTTTAGGAATCGATTCAAAATTTTAATTGAGGGATTATTATGTAATCAGACTTACTCTATGTAATTGTTTATGATTTTAAAACACTTTTCATCTCATTATATACTGTCTATATAGCAACGTTTCGTTTAAAAATCGTGATTATTTATCTGATCATTTTTTGTCATCATTGTTGTTAAAAACATTGAAAATCGCACATTTTTTTTCTTATTATTGTATGGTAGCTTATCCACTTGTGTCTACATGTGAGTAAATACGTGCATAGTTGATAACTAAACCTTGGTAATTAGCACAAATAGTGCATATATCCATGTGATTAGACTTATGGACATGCAAACCTAATTGGTAACAACATAGTAGTTCGGATGAAAAAGTGAGTGCACACACTGATATATATATATATATATATATATATATATATATATATATCCAGTCAATATATCATCATTTTAAGTAAACTATTTTTATGGATATTTCATGGGATTAGCTGAGTCAAAGGTTTCTACATTTGTATCCTCAACATCCACATCTGAATATAATAAATCTGTTGAAGAGGAATCTCAAGAACTATTTCTCAAAAATGGTGAAATCTGTGAAGCAGAATTAGTCAACAGAAAATTCAATAATATATGTAATGATAATCAGGGTAATAATTCAATGAAGAAACAGACTATTTCATGGAAAACAGTTGGCGCTACTAGCAAACCAAGTAAAACGTACTATTTGGTCGATGATTCTTTTGAGTGTACACCACCGTCATCATCGAAGAATAACTCCAAAGTTTTCAATGACAACAGTCATAATAATCAACCCAAAAAACAACTACCTATCAGTCAGTTAGTAAAACAACCCCTTGTGTCAAAAATCTCGCTTACTGATACTAACACTGATAACATGGATCTAAGCAATAACAAATGTCAAGCCTTAACAAAAAATTTAACGAAAACTCCTCACTGCTCACAAACGTTCTCAGCAAACAGTAAGAAAATGTTTTGTTATCAAGTACTAATAAATATGTATGAAAATATTTTGGATAGGGATTTCACTATTGACTACTGAGTGTGGTCTATTTTATTTATCTGGAGAATTAGCCAGATTGTTAAAACTTAGTGGTGATTTACTATTTGCAGGCTTTATGTTTATTAGCTTTCATTGGTCAGTAGGTATCTATGCATATTACAACGACCAACTGATCATTACCTGGATTCAGTCGTATTGTAATTAGATTCATGAAACGATAAACTATATTACTTCAAAACTCTGGCAACATAATATTACTAGTTCCTAAGTCACGTGACTGATATGGCTCTTAATGCGAAATCTTAAAGTGATGGGTTCAGTATAACAAAGTCTTGGAAAAACACTGATGAGTAGTCTCAAAATAAAATGAAATCATTGTCCAATGTTTGAAGATTTACCAATACAATCACGTTACGATACAAATCGGAGCGTGCTGGTAGAAAATAATCACTTAATGAGCAAATTATAAAGGAAGTGCAGAGGATATCGATCAGTATAATATGGATACAAAATGTACTGTTATTATTTTTTATATTACCTTGATTAGTTTACTTATTTCTTAAAAAACGCCTTTATTAGAATGTTAAAAAATAAGATCCCAACATACATTTCTTCTGCAGATTGCAGGTGAAGTAGAAGATCGGAGTTAAAGTGATAGGATTTTTGTAACTAGCAATGTTTTTAATGTTTAAAATCATCTTTAGAATTGCAACATATTTCTGAACTAAAAAAGTACCCTTACGTGTAGAAATTTTGAATTGATTTAAAGTACTTTAAAAATCACTTACCAGCTTTTCTAATCATATGACACAACCATATTTCCGTGACCTGAAATATTTCTTTCTGCTAACGAGAATTACTCTGTTACCTACAAGAAAAATAATAGAACTGTTACTTTCTAAATTAATTTATCTTAAGACTTTAGGTACCGACAGGTTCGATTTATTAGTGCCTACATTTTCATGAAGGTAGATAAGATGCGCTAAAGGTTTAGCTGATTACCAGAATACTTGTTACTAAAATAATGTAGGAATTGCCCTAAAAATTTATTTGCCGTGAAATATGATCCGATAATTTGAGCGGTTTTATGGAACAATGAACTAATAAAAATAACTATAATCAAACGCCATTTAATCATTACTCTTTCTTTCTTACTGACTTCATGTGACTGGCACAAATTCGTTCAGGCTAAGTTCATAGTAAATAGACTAATTGTCATTCAAAGTGTGGAAAGAAATGTAAAGTTGTCAAAAAGTGTTTCGTTAAAATTGAGTAGTGCAGTCGATAGAAGTATATGATAAGGACGAGCCAATCAGAATCGATAATGTGCCTTATAAGCTTTTACACACAATTCAATTATCACATATCACGAACAGTGGGAATACTGCTCAAAATGTTCAAAATTATTGGGAAAAATTAATTTTTCCCACCATAGAATCAAAAATATTGTGTTGAACATAGCAAGTGTCTCTGCAGATTATATATAATAGGAAAATCAACCGTATTCAAAATTTCTAACCCTAAACTGTTGATCATTAAACAGTCGCCAACCTGGTATCATTATATTTAATGGACGAATTGATCAGAGAACAAATGTAGCGCTTTTGCATGAAATTCATTCATATATTTGGATAAAGTTTTTTTGTATTATAGATGATATCAGATTGTGAAGAAAACCTTGACTCAAGGTCTTTAAAAAAACATAACCCTAATCAGGAACAATATGAGGACTCTGAAAAATCTATTTATATCCTTATAAGGCTTAGAGGAAATGAATAATCTATTTCCATAAGGAAGAGGTTTTACGTCAGTTTTTCTTCATTTTACCCCCCCCCCCACATTATCCTGTTGAAGACCTTAATAGATTTATTAAATGCGTAAAATCTGTTTACACATAGTAGTATTACAGTTTTCTTTTGTATAAACTGTTCACTTACGAAGCTTACTTTTAGATAGCCTGCAAATTCGTAATGGTTATCTTAAGCTCGTTCCTGTACTATACTATCTCCATACAATTTTTAAAGAGCTTGTTTCATCTCACTATTGATAATGAATAATGTACTCTGTGATTTCGTTCCTAATGATATCATTTGTGGATAGCAGTCTTTGTCACTTTGTATCGTTGGACTTGAAATTGGATATATTGTACCTTTTAAACATTTCCAGACTTAACGATTGAACGAATAGGCTTCAGATTTTACTCGAGATGTTTAAGTTGAATGATCAACATTTGCCAAATTTAGTCAGTCATCATTACAGAATGACAATCGACCATCGGATACTGACCCCTGTTTCTTATATCTTTGACTCCACTACTTAGGATGAGGGTTTATAGTTCAGGTTACTTATCTATGAATCAACTGTCAGTCAACTATTTCATAATGAGTTAACTACTCATATGTTCGATGAATTACGCCTTACATGCGGATCGACTGTGGGACATGACAGCTTTTTTACTGGTCTTTGATTCCTAGTGGTACATCAATCATCATCATTTTATTATGAAAATTATTATCTGGACCTGCTTTACATTCGATCTACGTTTATCTAAAGGTTCTTTGGGGTATATCTTACATGATTTGCTAAATAGTGAAAGCTGGTTGCAAATCAAAGTATGACTCAGTGCTTGTAAATGCCTTAACAACCAAACACTGTAAAACAAAAGTATTCTTAACCAACAAATATGATTTAGTTTTATATAATCTCTAGTACAACACAGTGATTCTCAGAATAGACTTTTGTTCTTCAATCCTAATTTCATACAACATGCCCTTATGTGTGATAGTAAAACGCTTTTAACTTATCTATGCCAGGTTTGACCTTTGACCGTTAAGAGATAATAAACACCCGTATGTGTAAAACTGTTAACTAACAGAAATAACAATGACCTACAAAAGTAGGTCACTATAAGATGATTCAACCCCTACGATGAATTGTTCACATTGATAGAATGTGAAATATTTACGTAGACATCTTGTAGACATTTGGTGAACGACAACTACATAACCTTTGAAAATATTGTAAAATTATGTTTGTATTGTCAAAATATTCTCATGGAAAGTGTAACTTGCTTATGAATTCAATATCATACAAAAATGTATTTATACTGAAAATAGTTGTTCACTGACGAAACTGATTCGAATACCAGAGAATAAAATCTTTATTCAACTTACTGTACATAAAGCGTAAATATGTATGTGAAGGGAAATCATTGTGAAATCTCTAACTTACCTGCCTGAATAACTGAAGAAAAGTAATCAAATATGTCTAAAAATAAGTGAATATTTATGAAGGCTTTAGAGCATAAAAATGTTTCAAGCATTTGCTAAAATGCCTGTATTCACTTATTTTCACTACACGTCAGGAATGTCTGTTACTAAGTGCCTCTTGAATGCTTACATCGATAACAAAAATATACTAAATTGCAATAATCACACGAATATCCTTGATATTTAACAAGTCGAGTTATTTAAAATCATCGTTAATGTATAATATTATGACTACTTTTGAATTTAAACGTAGATTTTGTTTAATTTATGTCGGTAAATAAAACACTATTTCTAATATCAAGTAATAGAACTAATTTCTGTAACTCAGATAGTCCAAAAAAAGGATATATGATTATGTTGTAACATTTTGTAACTTACTTACTTACTCCTGTTACTCCCAATGGAGCATAGGCTGATATTTTGTAACTAAGCCTTTTAAAATCTAGAAAATTATCTTATGTAATAAACATCTATATGCACAGTTCGATATGATTTTTTAAAGAAATTACTATTCTAATTTCTCGTGTAGATTGCATTATCGAGTAGACTAAGTGAAGCTGTAGCGTACATCTCAAATACAACAGTAATCAAACTAATATAATCGGCATGATAAATATATAAAGTTGTTTAGTGTTATACCTGATGAAAGTAACTGTCAAAACTACATTATATACAATAATACAAATAGTTAATGCACTCTTCCTATTGCGATCCCTTTAAACCAGAGACATCCAAACATTTGACTCATTATTGTATGAAATCTCAAGGGCCTTTGCTAGTGTTGTTGTTGTTTTGTTCAACCTCTTAAAAAAATCACGATCATAAAACACAGCTTAACCTTTTCAATGAACCGACGCTCACACAGTAATCCGATAATCTGATCTTATCTTGAACTCTAATTTTAATGTCTATAGCATCAAAACGTTAATTATGCAAAATTACAAAAATATTTAAGAGTTAAATGCATTGAAAACAGCTCAGTTAAATATTCTTAACTGATCAATTGAGAACCCAAATTAGAAAATTTGAACCTACCATCATAAGCCTTTCAGATATAATACAGCTAAACATTTCAAATCATAGATATGTCAAGGTTTTTGTATAAGTGGTAAACTTACTTAGTGGAATGTCATGATGAATGTGTACAAATCATAGTTTGCAGATGAAACTATGTGGTATAAAAAATTTATAGTATTTTACTGTTTTTGAATATATTCTATTTATACACCTTGTTGTCGAAAAGAACTGTACTTTCTTATTTGATCAGCAAATATCTGAGCTATGAAACGATATATAAAAAGGTACCATATCCTTATCATCTCCGCCGACTGAAATATGTAGTTAGCGTTAAAGATCAGTTTTCACTGTCATAAGAATAAACTATTTCAACCACATAAAATTAGGTAATTGTTGACAACTTACTAACGATTACCAGTAGTAGAACTTATTATCATTATTTAAAAAAATTTTCAAATGAATCTTAATACTTTAATTCATGCTTAAATATTTGGTGCTTTTATTTCGTTCTGTTTCATCATTCCACTACAATCTGCAAAAATGGATTTAGATAGATTTATAAATATTTATTTACCGGTGGAATAATGTCTTTCCAATACTACGGAATACTACTTACCTACAAGATTCCCTTACACATTGATTGTTTAAGGATCATGGGCTAAGTGAATGTTAA